ACATGAAACATTAGCTCTTGGTTGATTAAAAAAAAAAAAAAAACAATATTGGTTTTTAAGATTTTATGAGGGTACAGCCGCAAAATTTCATAATTTTTTTTTTTTAATATACCGTTGTAGCATACTAGGGACTGGATCCAAACACCAGGGTGGATTCTGGACCAAGTTCCTCGAACCTAATTACTACCACCAGATAGTCTTCTATAGTAAACTTATGTATGTAAGCAGGAATTGAAAACCCTAGTCGGCATGCTCTAGGACAACTATGCCAACCTCTGTTTAATTAATTGTACGTACTTTACTCCCATTCAAGTTCCAAAATGTTTATTGATTCAACCAAAAATAAAAATAAAAATAAAAACTTAAGGTAATTTCTAAACTCTCTTATATATTGATATGCAACTTCATTAACTTCTAAAATGATATATATCTATCTTAAAAAAAGAAAAAATCTTACCAAATGATACTTGAAAATGAGTGTAATATTTTAAGAATTAAGGAATTCTCAGAGATTCATAGTAACTTGGAGTACTAGCATAATTGACCAATAACTAACTAATTAAAGAGAAGAATATTTTATGATGATGAATTTTGACAATTGAACAACGTCGTACTTGGCTTCCAAGAAAGAAAGTAGGGAGATATATTGGCTTCACTATGGCTAATTTGCCTTATAGCTACACACAAAAAATTAATGTAATTAAATCTCCAAAAAGAGCATACACTTTGTAATAAAATAGGAAGAAATTAAAGTACTACCGAGCATAATATATTATGTAATAACAACAAAATTAATGAAGTTGATGAGGAGATCTAGTAAACAGCGTAGATTCAGGGAAATTAAGAACATAGAAAGATCAAGAGTGCGAATTAAAAGGTGAGACCACGCATATAATTAGGGGTGTTCATATCTGATCCAATTTGATTAATTCGATCTAAACTGATCGGATCCAATCAAAAATTGATCCAAACCGATATAAAATTAGGTTGGTTTGAATTTAAAATTTTTAAAACCGATATATTTGGTTTGGTTCGTGATTTTACTTTTAAACCGCCCAAACTGCCTAATTACAAAATAAAATCCGATTAAAAGATAATTTAATTAAATAATATAACATATTTTTTGTTGTATTTTAAATTTTCTTTTTCTTATTTTACAAGATTATAACTCCATTAACTTAATTAAATAAAAAAAATAGAACATCTCCATATTCCCTAAGTTATTTCTCCATTTTAATCATGCACTCTAATTTTAATTCTAAATTTTTAATTCATCTGTGACTCTATCTTTTCAGAACTGGTTTATACCTTTACTTTTAGAACCCTAAATTTTTAATTTATTCTTAAAATAATCTTATGATTTTCCTAACTAAGTTTTAAATAAGTATTATTCTAAAACCCTTAAAACTATATAATAAAATTAGTTTTAATATTCAACTATTCTTAAATATTTGGTTTAGAAGTTTTAAATTTTGATTTTGAATGCTTTTAATCAATTTTAGTAATATTCATGTTAAATGTTATTCACTTTTAATAGGATTTAGAAAATAGAATTAAATTATTAGTGTATTAAAAAAAATTAATTTTAACTTTCAAGAATTATTTATGTTGTGCTAGAAATTTGAAATTATCTTTTATTGTTTTTGGTGACTCTAGTAATGTAACCAAGAAGAATTTTCAAAGCTTTTTAATTTTTACAAATGTAAATGAGTGTAAGAATTCGTTTATAACTTTTACCTTTTATTATATTTTTACTGATTTGAATATTAATGTATTTTATAGTTATACTTTCTATTTGATGTTAAAATATTTTTTCATTATCTTATATATTTAATAATGCTAAAAACCGATCAATTCGACCGAACCACACCAATCCGATTTAAATTGGATTGGTTTGGTTATTATATAATAAGGGATCGGATTGGTTTAAAAATTTTATTAACCGATTAAATTAGATTGATTTAAAAAATAATAAAATCTGAATTAAACCACACCGCAAACACCCTTATATACGATTCCTTTTCCAATGGGTAAGTGCATGTATGTATGTTTGTGTATGACTAAACTGATTGAAGGTGGTTTTTTATAGCCTTTGCTTCAAAATTTAAATGTTTTGCTCTCTCCTGCATGCTTTAGTTTGCAAATTGATTTAGGGTCTGTTTGGTTTGGCTTGTCAGAGTTTTTACTTTTTTAGTATTATTTATGAGTGATAAGTTTAAATTTTTATTGAAATGAAAATTTAAAAATTATTTTTAGAGATAGAAAAAAAATAAATAAATAAAGAGTTTATGAAAAGTTTAGATTTAAAATTTTTGAATTTTTACTGTTTGGGATCTTTTTAAAATTAAAAAATATATATAAATATAAATTTTTAAGAAAAAAATTTATATTTATGAAGTATATATAGTATCAAAAAATTAAAACTAAAAAAAACTAACCCAAACATGCCCTTATTCACATAGCTGGGGTTATATATGATTGGGATTTGCAGTGATAGATAACTTGAGACAAGTGTTGAACTGAATGCGTAAATATCCACGTACAGCACTGCCGCACTGGGTATCATGTTTGTTGGTGGTCAATAATGACATACATCAATATATACCTTTACGGTCACCAAACGGAACTTCATGTGTGCATCTCTTCTTAGGCCATGGGTGAGGATCGTCTCAAATATCTCTCTTTTTTTTTTTTAATAAAATAATATGGCATCAAACATGTGGTATTATCTTTGTTTTAAATTAAGACTTTAATTAACACACTCTTTAATTCAGCATATTTATTAAAAAAAATTTATTTGAAATTAAATATAGATAAATTTATAAATAAATTTAAAAATACAATTATACATACAACATGTAAGAACTAGTTAAATTAATTATATTTATATTACATTTTAATTATTAAATTGAATTAATCAAATATAAAAAAATGTGTTAAATTGAAAGACATACCAATAATTTTTATTTAAATTAATTGTTTTTTTATTTTCATGTATACATATTTTTATATTGCATGTGAATTATAAGCCTGAACCTCATTTTATGCTTGCAATTCGTTGTAGCAGCATGTAATTAACCATGTAAAAGTTGAATGCCTGATGTTATTAACATCATGTTAAAGATTTAATATGCGATTTTTGGATGTGAGTTGCTATAAATTATGAAAGCTTTAGAGTACTCGTCAGACTTCTATTGATGAATTGCTATTTTGAACAGGATGGAGAGGGCTAAAGTGATAAAGAGTAATATGAATCGTACACTGGGCCACAGGGCGCATCTGCATTGCATTATAACCAACAGGACATATGGTCCCCCTCCACCATGTTATTGCCTCAGTTGAAAACAAAGTGTCACATATTGCTGGCCTGTTTGTCGACCAAGAAAGGATCCAAATTGACCATGTTAATAGACTTCGAATAATTACTCTCGACACCTAACCCGCATATTGTTCCTAATATTCATTCGTATATGCAGCTTGGTTTGCACTTGAATTCATACCAACTCACATGCCCAATACTTACAAAAATTGTGCCAGAACATGTCTTTCATGATTAAATAGTTGCATATGATGTTAGGTTGAAGGTTCAAACTTTCTACAATATAGCTAAACATAGAATTAACGTCTTCGTAATTTGTACCTATGGTGGAAGATTTTGCCACATGGTTTTACATTTTCCAAGCATATACATAAAACTAGAATAAATATCAAATATTACAAGCAGAATCAAATCAAAGTTAAGCGTACAAGGTTTTCTTAATTATGAGTAAAGCACACGCCTAGCTATAAGGGTTTGCAAATATGACGTTATTTTGAGCTTAAAATACTAGCTTACTAAGTTTATTTATCACTCACATGTGAACTCTTACAAATATTAGCATGTTATACTCTTGGAACATGTTAGGATTATACACACACTACATTTATATTTGATTCTCCGCATAACTTCCGGGTGATGGGCAGGTTTAAACGCATATTTTGACTGCTACCTAACCAATTATTTCTCATCTGCAGATTGCCAACTGGGGATTGAAAACCAAAAAAGAAACACACAACTGCAGTTATACATGCTTGCTGTCCAGCAAGCATGCCTGAAAATGATGTTCATGAATTTGAACATGGATTGGTCTTATCACACTTTGGATTGATCGACCTAGTTACCACTACATGATAAACAGAGAAGATATCATGGCCACATTCATGTATATGGAGAGGGCATGTCTAAGCATGTTTGGGACAGCAAACTTGAATTTTCATGAATAGGTTTCTGTTTCATTAATTAATTATGCATGCATGCACAACCCTTAGCTCTTTTTGAATGAATATTCATCCAAAAATTTTATTGAGCCCCTCAATTATTTTGATTCTCCAAGCAACCTAACCATTTTCTACTATTGCTTTTTTGAACACATATAGAACAAGCTAGCAGACAATGGTCCATCCATTTTATGCAAGGAAATGGCAAAAGAAAAGAAACCAATTCTATAATCAATGGTTTAGACTAGAGCATGACAGACAATAATTAGCAGCAGATTTTGCCAAATCCCACTACATAATCGAATCCGATCCCACATGGGTAAATTCGAAACACGCAGCACATGACAAACAGAAGGATATTTTTGTCAGAGAATAAGTGAAAACATAGAGGAATTAAATAATTTGAGAGAGAATGCTTGTAGTCTAGCAACAATTAATGTTAGTTAATGACGCTATATTCATGCACTTAATTAGTCTTGGTTCAACCAACTCTTGTTCCCCTGAAAGTTGTAAAACTAAGCAACTTGCAAAACAAAACAATATTCCATCATATCCATGGTTAAAATATGAAGCTAATCACATGTAATGCAGGTCGAATGCTAGCCAGTAAGCATGTTTGGATATACATTATGATCAATTAGATTAATGCATTGCCTGATAGCTAGATATCTCTGATATATTGACCTTAATATTATATATATATAAATATATATATATATTTTTTTTTTGTTTGAAAAGCAAAGGCATTTTATTATGCAAATACAAGGGATACTCAAACCTATATACAACAATTGCTAGACACTGGAGATTAGATACCTAACCTATCCAGCCAGTACTACACTGTGGACTTTATATAGAATCAAAATGAAAAAATTCAATGTTGGTTTCTTAAGAGGAGGCAACAATTATGGATTAGGTAATCCCTTCTAATCTCATATTCTAAAGCATGGTGTCAATGGAGCAGGCTTTGATTAAACAAGAGAGATGAACTTAGAATAGAGTTTATGAGATCAAACAGGATATCAGTTAACTACTAAAGAAAAAAAATCAATGCATTTTCTAACAATCCATAACTTGTAGATCAAGAGTAGCAAAACAAGTCAATAATGGGACTGATTAGTACTGCCAAAGACAAATTTGGCTCTGGATCCAAAAGCAGTAAATTCAGACATTAGAACATGGCATCTCATAGAACAAAATATTCTTCAAGCACGCAAGGATCTTTTAGTTTTATGAACAGCTCTACCACATTTATGATTAGATTTGAATCATTGAATATGAAAACCAACAATCTCTGAAACAATTGCTTTCCTGGATTGCTGGACATAGTTGGCAATCATGCCCAACAGCTAATATTTCAAAATCAATGTTATATATAAATATTTCCTTTCAACAATTCAGCTGTTCTGCCTTACCTGTTTTACGAGTTCACTTTATGCCTATTGTAATGAAGCACCTTTCTAATTCTGTTAAAAACAGATAATTTATCCATACCAAGACAGAGATATACAAAAGAAAAATTACCTCCCTGGAATGTAGAAGTCACGAACTAATAAAGAAACAGACTTCATATAATTATTCATGTTCCAAGTTTTAAGAATTTGGTGACTCTAAAGTTGAGTTCAACTCAGACAAACAATTCCCTTGAGATGAATCGGGCTGCTACATAGTGTATACCAAAAATATCAGAAGAATACTCCCAAACAAAATCCTTCTTGTGTGTGGAGTGGCCCCATTCATAGACGAGCTAATGACTTTAACGCTGGAAGGCCCCAACTTGAGTTCTAGGCTGCCAAGAAAAGGAATTAACCAGTAGTGCTGTAGCCTGTAAGACTACATAGCAGAGCAAGCCCAACCCACAAACCATCTGGAGAGCTTTTCAGTAGGGCTGTAGCCTCGCAAAGCCTTTTATCCTTTACGAAATTATTATTATTTTTTTATATAAACATTACAAAATTATTAAGCATTCTGAGAAATGATGTTATGTTATAAGTACTGTTTTTGAGTGTCCATCCAAATAAGATAATTACATTTTATCTGCTCTGAGCAATGTAGCAAATACATTGAAGGGAAGTAGTTTCACATATCGTAAATATTTTTTGAAAATAAACGGTAGGGGATTGCAATGTTTGAATTGAAACAACTTCACTGCTTTGTTTTTTGTTCCAAGTGATTGTTTGGAAGAAGGAAATCATGTGTCCGTTTGTTTGTTACAATGTGGACAAAGAGAGGAATTTGATCAATCTTTTCTATTCTACACAAGCAAATTGGAAGTTAATACCAGTAACTCAAGAGATCTAACTGTTGTAACTAGTCCATGAGGAAGATGATACATGCCATTTCAGTAAAGAAAGAACAAACAAACAGCTTCAGACATTAGTGGGTTCCAACAGCACAAAACTGCTAACAAAGATAAATTGAATATAAGAAACATAGCTGCAATAAAGCCATAAATTATGACAAGACTAATGGAACTGTAATCGTACTATAACTACTTCTGTGATTGTTACTACTTGCAAAGCTGTTCAACTGCTGTCACGATCTGGGCAGGCTGAACAACGGTCCACTCCTCCAATGTGCCAGCATATGGAGTAGGCACATCCTGTGAAGACAAGCACACAATTGGAGCATCTAAGTAGTCATGGAAATTCTCATTGATAGCAGCCGTCAAGCTAGCACCAATGCCACCGGTTCGCATGCATTCCTCCACAATCAGAACGCGGTGTGTCTTTTTAACAGAGTTGCCAATGGTGTAAAGATCAAATGGTTTCAAAGACCTGATATCAATCACTTCAGGATCATATCCCTTGTTCACCAAAGTTTTAGCAGCTTGCATCACATGATACCTCATCCGAGAATAGGTCAAGATAGTCACATGCTCCCCAGGCCTTACCATCTCAGCTTCCTCGAGATTACATATGTAATCTTCATCGGGAATTCTCTCCTTGAGGTTGTAAAGCAACACATGCTCAAAAAGTATCACAGGATTCTCACTTCTGATTGCTGCCTTCATCAAGCCCTTAGCATTATAAGGAGTTGAGCAGGCAACCATTTGGATTCCAGGAATTGATTGAAAATAAGATTCAAGACGCTGTGAGTGCTCAGCCCCGAGTTGCCGGCCAACTCCACCAGGTCCGCGAATGACTATCGGTATGGTAAACTGACCACCAGAAGTATAGTGGAGCATACCACAGTTGTTAGAGATCTGGTTAAAAGCAAGAAGGAGAAATCCCATGTTCATACCCTCAACAACTGGCCTCAGACCAGTCATGGCAGCTCCAATGCCCATGCCAGTAAAGGAGTTCTCTGCAATAGGAGTGTCAAGAACCCTGAGGTCCCCAAACTTCTCAGCCAGCCCTTTGGTCACTTTGTACGAGCCTCCATAGTGACCCACATCTTCACCCATTACACATACACGGGGATCCCTGTCCATTTCTTCCTCTAATCCCTCTTGTAGAGCCTCAAAGAGTAAAATCTCATGCCTGGAATAGAATATATATTTGATAACCAATTGCCAATAAGTAACTAATACAGCAAAGAAATTTGAATTTAGAAATCTGATAACAGAACATAAAGGAATTGTTTTAGTTTCAATTATAAATATCAAACACGAAGCCAACTATAATATATGAAGGGATGATAGAGAGAGCGAAAATGTTGTGGTTCTAAACAAGGTTTAAGGTACAAACTGCGCATGCAGCATGCAATAACTAAATAAGCTAAAAGGCATAGTAAAGAAGGTTTCTTGGACACTGAGGAATCAGAATAGCACACACACTGTAAGATATGCTAGGTAGCTAAGGTAGGTAATTAGTCAGCTGGATTAAACATTGCAGACAAGGCAGCCAAAAGGCTATTACCAGAGTCTTATATCAGGCAATATATGCAGTTTTTGACATAAATATTAAAATATGTAACATTTGGGTACATTGTTGCTTTCCTAACTTAATGACTAAGACTGATCATGTAATGACTGAAAACATCTTTCACATGTTATACCTTTTTCATAATGTATAAGCCAAAACCACCAAATATCCGGAGGTGAACCACAACAATCATATTTAACTACTCCAAGAAAGTATACCAGGAACTTTGGAAAGATATACAAAACAAAGATAGAATCCTTACTTGTCAAGCACAGCCAAAAATTTCCATCCTATAACTATTAGCACTTGTGAAACCAAAAAAATCAAACTTAATAAAAAGAACCAATAAAATAGAAGATCATACCCTGATTTAGACGCAGTGGAAGCCGCAGAGCCGTCACTCTTGGTCTAGAAAACCACAGAAAACACAATAAGAAACCAACATTCAATTAACAAACAACTAAAAGAAAGATGGAGATAGATGCTGAGATAATTAACTGCAACGGCATTGGTAATCAGCGGCTGATCCCGGCGACCTCTCGAATTCAAGCCAAGGTTCAGGCTTCCATCAGATCTAACCAAAACAATTCCTCTTTTCCTTGCTGCACCAAATTAAAGGAAAAGAAACATTACTGCAGAGATCAAACATGAGAGTATAGTACCAAAATTGAAGGAAAATGAGAGAGAAAGTAGACGGAACCTGAGACAGATCTGCGAGTTGGAAGCTGGAATTTCTTGGAAGCAATGGAATTGGAAGGCGATAAAGCCGTGGCAGCTCCCACTCCCTGGAAAATTGCGGCCATTTGATTACAGGAGAAAGGAAACTGAATTCAAAGGATTGCGAAGCAGGGAGGGAGAGAATGAGGATTTAAAGAGAAAGGAAGAGAAGCGCCGGCGGAAAAACCGAGGAAGATTTGTAGAGTTTTTCAGCTTCGGCGACGGTTTGCATTGGAGGGACAGAGAACCACCACATGGTTTGCATCGCCGATTTTCTCTTTTGAGAAATGATCGGGTGCGTCAACTCTTTTGTCTTGGACGAATCAGGAAGAGCCACGTAAGGTGGACGTGAATCTTGGGTTACCGATTTTGTCCTAAACTGAGTTATGTGGCGAGTTATGGTTGGAGGTAGATTGTGGAATACCAACTAGTTTTTTTTTTTTTTTTATAAGAGTAATAGTTAATAAATTAATATAAATTAGTTGTTAGCAACTGGGATTCGATTCCCCAGACCGAGTGAATATTTCATCCCCTCAAATGAGGTGCACGGTCATCAAGTTACTTTTTAGTGGAGTTCATGACGATAGTAGAGTTTGAAATTTTGATCACCTCATCTAAGCATTTAAAGATCGAGGTCATATCATTAGAGCTAAAAGCCCAAGAGATACCAACTAGTTGGCCTGAATGAAAATAGATTTAGCCATCCCCTTCCAGGACTCTTGTGCTCAACCAGATACTTTCATTTGGGGCTTTTCTAGTGATGGCCTTTTTAAATCTAAATCTGCTTATTACTTATCCAAAAACATCGCCCGGAGTGATGACTCTTGGTCCTGGATCTGGAAGATTCATACTTTGCCTAGAGTTAATTACTTTGTTTGGCTATTGAGGCATGGGAGATTGCTGACATTTGATACGCTTTTTAATTGGGGTATTAGCGAGTCTAGCATTTGCCCAAGATGCCATCAAACTGTTGAAACTATTAACCACATATTTAGAAAGTCTAATTTCTCTAAATCTTTGTGGGATCTTCTTACTCCGTATCCCATTAATACTCTCTTTCATGATACTAATTTTAATGACTGGGTTTTTGCTCATGCTACCTACTCTGATACTTCTCAACTTGGGGATTGGAGTACCTCTTTCTCCTTCATTACTTGGTCTATCTGGTATTTCCGGAACCAACTGGTTCATGGTGGAAAAAGCTTCTCTATCGATGTGGCTAGAGACTTTATCCTGTCAAAAATTGATGAGTTCAACCAAATTCATCATACTGCATCTAAACCAAAGACTTCTACCACTATCCTTATTGGATGGACTCCCCCCCACCCTCCTTCTGGGGTTATAAAGCTAAACACCGATGGTTCTGCTATTACAAACCCAGGTGCTGCTGGTGCAGGAGGGGTCTTTAGGGATGAGCTTGGAAATTGGCTGCTTAGTTTTTATTGCAGCATTGGGTTTACAACGAGTCTATCGGCAGAGTTGTGGGCTTTGAGAAATGGCCTCCGGCTCGCTGTTGATAGGGGTTATTCCAATCTTATTGTTGAGATTGACTCTAGGATTACAAAAATTCTCTTGGATTCTGCTAACTCTAATTTTCACTCACTTGGGGTCTTGATCGATGACTGCAGGGCTATGATGTCTCAAATCCCCGCCCTTCAAATTAATCATATTTACAGGGAAGCTAATGCTCTTGCAGATGGTTTGGCAAAAAAGGGTGCAAAGTCGGATTCTTCTTTTGTTGCTCTTGAACAAAGTCCCTCCGAACTTTGTAATTTGCTGTTTTCGGATTGTATTGGGACTATGTTTCCCAGGAACATTGTAATGCGTTAAGTGTCAATGTTATCTCTAATTACCAAAAAAATAAAAAGAAAATAGATTTGTTGTTTTAGATAAAATTTCAAATTTGGTTCATGTAAATGAAGAAATAAATTTTGAAAAAATGTTCCTCTTATGACACTTGACATGGTTGATTCTGAATTAATCATGGTAGAATATAATTTTTAGATACGAAAAAGTTAATAAAAGAAAAAAAAAAAACCCCTGATGTGGCACTGATACACCGATGGTGGTCCACCCTAACTAAATAGGCAGCTAATTGATAGTCAGTGTAAAAGGATTAATTGCACTTTCCACCTTAAGCTTTGCTGAGATCTTGTAAGAAATGTATCATACTTTTTTTCAGGAGGAGTATATCATAATTAGAGAAACATTCCAAAGAATGACAATTGGGATTGCAGTTTTAGAGTGCACATTGCTGCAAAGAAATATCAATGTTAGGTGTGAAAATATTAAGGATGTGTTTGAGATTGCTTGATGAGAGTATTTTTTTTTTTCTAGTTATATAATATTTTTAAATATATATTAATATATGTATTTAATAACTTTTTTAAATTACTTTTCTCAACATCTATAAAAAGTTATAAGGATTTATAATAATTTTATATATAAAATTAAAAATTTTATTTTAAAGCATTCTACTTATATTTTTGCATATATAAAATAACTCTGAAGACCCTTGTCTATCCTCATCAACAGTGAGTACAAGAATTCTATAAGATTTTGGCAAGGTAAAAAATTCCCTCTATTCTCGCATCCGTGGACAAAAAAACACCAATGTCAAATCTTTTGTCAGGTGAGTATCAAAAAGTAATTTTATTTTCTATTGATTTCTTTACACTAAAATCTATTTGCTTTTTTTGGTCATTATTATGTTTAATTATAATATTTTTGTTCTAAATTTCATCTTTCATTTATCAAGTTGGATTTTACAGTATTTTTAAAAAAATAAATAATTAAACACCAAAAATAATTTTTAACCATGATCACATATATAGCATCTCATAGTAATTTCAAAAGTAACCTAAATTATCATCAATAATTGTTCATCAATCCCTCATTTACTAATAATATTTTATTTTTTTT